TAATGATGATAATCAAAAGTGATGAGCAAAAGTCTCTCGTATTTTTTAAGCTTAACGATCAAAATCAACATAAGTCGACATAGAAACCATCTATACCGCATTTGCGCCGCGTAGATCTTTTGCTTGACATCCACATCATCAAAGATATATTTTTGCATGAAAGTAAAGTATATAACTTTTAGTATTCTGTTGCGAAAATAGGTAAAATAATAATGAGAATATTGACAAGAACATCAACACCGTTAAATTTGGCTTATGTCAGATTATATCTTATACTCTCGCCTAGTTAAAGCCTTCCAATAAAACTATTGATTTTTAAGTTGAAATCAGTCATAGTTTTTGTTATTATGTCACAAAAACACATGAAGTATACTTCATTCTATTGTATTAGATTAAGTAGTGTATAGCACTTAATGGTCGGCCTTGACCAACTATAATTTTAGTACTTGTCAGAGCTGATTAAAAAAATCCTTTTAAATTTATGATTCAAATAGAGAGTAAAAATGCTCTCGATCGATTGTATCGTGCATAAAATTATATCACAACACTTTTAACAACAAATTAAGGTCGATCACACTTCTACACTATAACACTTCTACTCAAAATAAATCATTTTGCTTGCATTGGAAGTTATCGTTAAAATGGTTCTCCCAAATACGTCATTGTCGCGTATCGTAATGAATTTTTTTTTCGCAAATTACGATCTCTAAATTGAACACAAATTACATAGATAGAAATCAGAGAGATAGACATGCGGACAGAAATATCCGCATTTCTTAAGTAGCGGTCAGTATTATAATAAAGCAAAAAACGTTTTCTGTTACATAAATGAAGATAAAATCCAGCTACGACAGACTTCTGTTCATATTGACAGCGGCTTTGGCTTTTGCTTTCTTTTCATTTAAAAAAAAAAAAAACAAAACAAAACAAAACAAAACAAAACAAACGTGTACACGCTATACGCCAGATAGCTTTCCGATCGTTTGTATTCGTCTCAAATTTTTTTTGTAATTAATTTATTTTTTGTTGTGTATTGATAACGTGAAACTTCTTATAACGCAGTTTGCAGGTTGCACTCTTCACTCACCCACCTATACACATATGATTGTTTGCTTATGATATAAGCTTCTTTACATCAATAGTCTTACACCCATCTCCGAAGGATGAGGGGTGCGTTGGTTTTGTCAAAACGTTTGCAACAACCACACAAAAGGTTCATAGATCCAACAAAGTACAAGCGTTCGTGATCAGCATGATATTCTGACTTGACTTAAGCATTTCCTTTCTTTCTCCGTCTACGCAAAGTCCGCTGTAAGCCGAAACATGCAATGGCATGTAAACTGAGAACCCCTCCGTGCTCTCATAGGTATAAAAAATTGTTTTTCGCTCATTACTCATAAACTGCAGCGCATAGATGTATAAAAATAAGAATGCATATTATGGGAAAAATTGACCACGCCTATCCAATATTATAGCGACCCGAAATTGATGAGATGATATGTTCTTTGATTGGTATAAGAGATTCGATCACTATAACAACGCAATAACTTGAGATTGGGATTTCGAGTTAAAAGCAAAAAAAAAAAATAAATAAATAAATAAATAAATAAATAAACACTTTACCATTAAGACCAGCAAGAGGAGATCATTGATGTATGCAAGATACACGATATATAGATGTAAGGAGCAAAAAATATTTAATACATAATTTCTGATTAAAACTCATACATTTCACTACCATAGTTGTTCGTATAGGTTAAATACAAAAAGGGAAATCTTAACTCTGCTATGCATTATCTTGTAATTTAAATTTGATAGCAAAGTAATATTGAAAAAGTTAAAATTTGATATTTACTTCAACTTTAAATTTTTCAAAACATTTTTACTTATATACAATATTTCCCACTTCATGTACATGACATGCTTTTGCGTTAATTTTTGCTTAATTAAACCGCAATCTCGAAGACAGACTTGCTTTCAAAAGAAATTGAAATAACTGTTAAACAGCATTCATAAAATAAATAAAAATTAAAAAAAAAAACATTTCCCAATAACGGCAATAACGGCAGTTTGAAGCAATGTATGCATACAAGTTATCTGAATGCTCTTAACTGCTCTATAAATATTTATCATGCAAAGGTATTTCAACGAAAAACTCTTTTACGAAACATTCAAATATATAATGTATTCATTTACGAAATCGTCTTTTTGTAAATAACTTTGATATGATTATTTTTTAATATAAAGAATTTCCCAATAAAAATCAAAACAATAAGAAAACAATGCTAATAAGCTAAATTTGTTGATCGATCAAGAACTCTTGGTACTACATATCCGACAAGTTGGAAAGTACGCATACCATTGATTAGCGTAATATTTTAAATTGTTTTAAGCATGCTATGCTGTTTGCATGTCTTACACACACGCACAAGCACACGCACACGCACATATACACAGACAAAGGTTAAAATTTTTATAATTTCTCAATTGATGGCCATAGATTAGATTTGAAATAGCCACAGACCTATAATATTAGTATATAGGATATTAGGTTAAAGCTTGCAGCAAACATTTATCGGAACGGCTTAAAATTGAATTCAAAAAAATGATGTCATCTCATACAAGGAAAACGTCTAAGATCAAAAATATTTCGTTCAACAAATCTGACAAGTCTAACTAACAACCTAAGTTGATGTAGAGGCTAACAAGAATTCACCCAATTCTACGAGAGAATAGTATGCAATGCTTAGTAAATTTGATGTCATTAAAGGTAGGCTCTTATTATTTCCACGTAAATTGCTTGCAAAGTATAAAACGCAAATGAAATACGAAATAGGTTACACTGCCATACAAGCCGGCATGTGATTCAGATACGCTTCGATTGTAATATGATTCTTTCGATTATTCTCCAGTCCATTTTCGTAAAATTTTTTAAATAGGGAAAAAAGGCTTTTTCTCTATCGGTATTGTCGTTGTTGTTACTTTCAACGATACTCTTGCACTCTACCTTTTTTATTCTGTCCATTATCAAACGTTAAGGAATTACGAAATATATAATAGAGTGAGACTTTTTAAGAGTAGAGTAAACTTTTTAACTTTGGAAAACTTTAATTATAAAATTAAAATTGAAATTTATCTCTTACACAATCCATGCGCAGAACCGCATATGCACTGTGTGTATGCACACAGACCTTCAGTAATCAAAACAAGACAATGAAAGGGCTACGAAAAAACATAACCTTTAAGTATATGATACTTGTTTACGCAAATTACACCGTACAGCATATATCGATCGAAATCGCATTCATATTCCTTGTATGTATGAGAAGAAGGAAAGTAAAACTTATAAATATGTATACATATATTATATTATGTAAGCCATGCGAGGTAAATTTTACTTTGCTTGTTCACATAACAAGGCATATGGTTTTTATCATAAGTAATATGTACGTAGTTAAGTTTCTTATTGAGAATATTTTGTTGCTATTACTTGATTTTACGTTTAGTAGCGTTGACTGCGAGCGTAGAAGTTCATTAATGTTCGACTTGACAAATAGTTTGTTTATCTTATTTATATTAGCTAATGATACCGTCATATATCGTTCAGCGATTTTCGACTCAAATTTTTTGTTTTTATTTATCAAATGTGTGTAGCTTGAGCACAATTTTAAGTACTTAATTATTAGAAGCAAGTTTTTACACCCACCAGCGAAAGATCAGTGATACGAATTCGATGAATGATTCATGATGAGCTGACCGCCCGGCAATATATTGTTGGCTATTTGATAGCAAAAAGTTCGAATTTCTTGTTTCGATTTTGGAAATCTTTCGAAACTCACGTACGTATACTTACAATTTCAAGGCAGTTACAATTTTTGTCACCCTATCGGACACGAACACTTGCCACCCGAAGCAATTCATTGTAACTCTGGCTTTAGGGTCTATCGGCAAAATAATTAGCGAGTAATTTTACATCGGTTTCTCTCAACAACATCTCATAAGTTGCTAATAAATATTTATTAAAATTTCCAATACTTCCCCGGGCTATGCGCAATACTTGAAAGGTTTTTCGAGGTGTCTGTTGAAATTACGCTCATTCTAAAATTTGATTTGTTCGTTGGCTCGAGTATATATGTTAGGAGCGTCAGAGACGTCGTTTAACAGAGACGAATGCAAACAAAATGAAAAGTTTTCAATTACTAAATAAAAACTCATAGTAATTGGTATTCATCTCTGAAAAGTTTGTCTTTAATGTTCTCTTAAATCTTATATAATTTAATATAACGCAAATTCATAATTTAATTTTTTAAATTTAAAATCCATTATAACGTGAACTTGAAACCACAAAATGTTATATAAAACCATCGCAAAATGTTTATTAACGCGTAAGATCCTATATAAATATGCTGTCATTCAAAAAGCAAATAAAAACAAAAAAAACCAAAGGTAAATCTCATACACTTTAAACGCTTTCTATACTTCTTGGATAAAATCTTTACAGCCCATTGAGCGGCGAAGGAGACTTTTTAATTCTTGCATGGGTATGTTTTTTGTTTTTTTTTACGTAAAACGCATATGTTTCTAACAACATATGTAAACGACATTTTATATAAAATATGTCGTATCTGTGATTTATTGCCAGAAGCAAAATGATTGACACTCGACAGTAATCGTTTTTATAAGGAAATAAACAAAAAAAAAGGAAAAAGTATCCAGTACAACATCAGACATTTTAAAAGCATGCTTTTAGGCTGAGTGTTTTTTTTTATGATAAATGTTATGTATTTACTTTTTATTTGTTTTTGTAACCTTGTTAACAGTAAGGACTCGACAAAAGAAAAACGCTTCTTATGTAAATATGGAAATTGAAAATGATATCTATTCTTTTTTTCTCTCTTTCTCTCGTTTCTCTTATAAAAATAAAAATGACAAAAAAAATTGCAATAACTAATGCCGCCAATTTTGTATTATATAAAATTATGTTTCATAAACACTATTAGTGGTATCCACGTATGGTGAGTTTTCAATGTTAGGTTTCA